GTGTAGAAACAAAAGAGAAACAGCAGTCATCAAGCAATGCATGTCCTTCGGTGTTAATTGCTAATATTTTCTGAGTATTCACTGTGTGCCAGGTACTTTTCCAGAAACCTACCTGATGGTAATCACTATGAGGAAATTGAATAACAAAGTGGTAATGTAACTTGCCCTGGAGCATAACGATGGGAAAATGGTGGTGCTAGAATTATAAACAAGGCTGTTTAGCTCCTGGCAGTGTTTCCCTAACCATTTCAGATAGATAAACTAATCTGCTAAAAGGAACTTTGTAGAAGTTCTTCAATATCAGCCTATTATCACAGTTATATTATTTTAACTTTATATATCCCAACCATAATTTCTCTGAAAGATGAATTCACTAAATCTATATTTCATAGTGTGCTACCATTAGACATCCCCAGAAACTTTCCATTTATGCCTTTGAGCATTGGAGGATGGAGATGTCCTCCTTTACATTTTCAAAATCATTCAGTTCCTGGAATGTGGGATCTTCCCCAAACAGCTGGCAGGAGATTCAAATGTTACCTCTGCAAAAGTTTATCAGAAGCAAACAAGCACAGGGGAGATTAAGCAAGAATTTCTGGGACGCCAGCCTCATAGAAGGAGCAAGAGATGTAGGGTGTGCATTGATCCTCTCAAGAGGACAAAGGTAATGATTAACTAAACCCCTTACACATTTAAATGAGATGAGAGCCAGGAGTGAAGACAAACCTTTCCTTTAGCTGGAGTGCTCCTCATGAGCTAGGTCCATCCTCACAAAGATGATTTCCATGAGGATCTTCTGCCTGGTCTTGAGTGTGCTGGGCACAGTATGGGTATGATCTTATTCCTCCCCTCCTTTTCTTTCTCTCTGGTGTGTATAATACAATTAGCTTTAGGTCTGAGTCTATCTTATTTCTGTCCTGACACAGCCTTCTAATCTCTAAGTCATAAAGGCAAGTTCCAAGATAGATTTTCCATTTCAAGATGTCAAGAGGTATAAATTCATAAGGGAAGTCTTATATCACTGCTTCATTTAAAAAAAATTGATAATTTTTTTAGCATTTTGAGTGGATTCTTTTTGTTTCAGTCATGGCTGGTTGAAGTGACACTGTAGGGAAATCAAATGTGGATATACTGGAATGAGAAAAATCAGGGATCTTCCTCTGCTAGACACTTTATTTCCCTCTCAGAAAACAACAGGAACATTTGTGTCACCTAGCAACCAAATCTTTTGACCTCTACAGTGGTGCCTGGCTCAAAGATGGCTGCTGACTGACTATGTCACTTTGTATTTGTGTTATTCTCCACAGTCCTGGTGATAATACTGTCAGGCTTCTGGAAGTACTTGCTGTATCTCTTCTGAGTATCCCAGTCTAAGTCTTTGAACCTGTAATTTTCCTGTTTTGGTTAGCATTCTGGAATACGTACCTGTTACTAATTCAGGCCTTGTTCCTCAATCAGCTATGATCTAATTGTTTTGAAGGACTGGAAATTTTGTCATATCTGTTGCTATAAAGCCTCTTGCCTTTAAAGTATGGTATTTGATGTCATTAGAATGTGATATTTTAAAATCAATCTTAATTTCTTATTTGTTCATTAGAAACAGAATAGGATAAGTTCTCGCCAAAGTTGTTTTTGCATTTCTTTCAAGACAGAAAAAAAAGACAAAAGTGGCTTAAAAAACATATTACATAGACAGTTAGAAGAGACAAATTGATAAGGCCCTGTGGTTATTTTGGAAGAAATAATATTCTCTTATAAAATTCCTAATTTTGAAAGAATTTATGAAATTTTATTCCAAAGGCCCATGTAAGAGAAGCTTCATTTATAAGACCCTGAATTATGACAGATAAGGATAGGAAACTCAGTTACTCCTCAGCTAATTATTTAGCTTGTTCATTTTTATTTATATCTTTTCCTTCATTGCTCATAACCCTAATATCAGATAGTAAACAGAGAAAAACTAAAGAATATTTTAACTCAATTTTTTCCTTCTACAAATATATTATCAACTTTTTCTAGAATAAATAATTTGCTAAAGTGATATTGTAGTTTATACATAGGTTTGCATTATTTCTCTTTTTACCTTTAGAAGTTCTAAAAAGAAAATGGATTTCCCCCTCATATTCCTATTCTTATACCATTTATTCTGCAATATGCTTGAAGTTCTTATTTTATCTAGTAATTAAAAGATAGTAATTATTCTTTTCAATAAATTGTTCTTAATTACTTGTGTTGTTATTTAAAGATGGTTGGGGTTTTTTTAATAGTAATAAGATTGCAAATTATAATTAATTACTAGAATAAGCTTTCCTGGATTAAAGAGTCATGGCAATTTTTTTTAAATGTTGATGGTATAGAATTCAAAATAACTAATGCCTAAAATCTAAATTCATTCATTAGTATGCAGTCTTGTTGGGGATAATCCCATCCTATATTATCTTATGGACCACAATAGAAATTTGAAAAATTTGTATTTCTAATTGTAAGGTGTTCCAAAAGTTTTCATTAATGAATTATTTTGCTTTTAATCTACTTTTTTTTTCCAAACAAAAAGGCCTCATAGCATATTTGAGTTACCTACAAAGCAATCTTGAGTCTGAATTGGCCACATTTGTAACTGTGCTGTATGCTTACCCAAATTATTGACCCATCTTGAAAGGTTTTGGTAGAAATCGATAGGCAAAAGAAAAATTAAATGAGGTGGTTTTTTGCTTATTCAATCAGGATTTACAAGAGAAAGAATGCTCAAAATTTTCCAACTATTTTAACTCTTTTTTAACCAGAACTTAATTAAAACAGAAAGATAAAATTGACCGAGTTTTGTTGATTTAAGTGTTTTTCCTTGCATAGGAAATCTTAAAAATGTCTATTTTTTTTTACATGCTCAATCGAGTGTGATAGCACATAACAGCATGGAGTGTGAAGCATACTTCATGTCATGTTGTCTCTTCCTGGTTAACCACCTCTGTGTGTGTGTGTGTGTGTGTGTGTATGTGTGTGTGTGTGAACTTTTAAAGACTGCAGATACAGAGACAGATACGGATAAAGAGGAAGGTGACTTTCTAACGGAAGGAGGAGGTGCACGTGGCTCAAGAATTAGCCTAAGCAAGCAATCTACCTGCAAAGAATCTGACTGGCCCTTCTGTTCTGATGAAGACTGGGTGAGCCCCGGGGAGTCGAGGGGTGACGGGTGGGGGTGGGGGTGTTTTCCCCTGTGGTGATAGAGATGCTCAGAGAGCAGTCGGTCACAGAAACTTTCCCCATCAGAGAAGTGTCTTTTCTTTTGAATTAATAGTGGAAAAATAGAAATCTAGTTCCAAAGCAAAGTTTTAATTACCAAGACGACTTGAACCTCCCAAACCCTGGGCCCTTGGTGGCATTAATAGATTGCATTTAAATTGGATATTTAGACAAGTACTAAGACTCTAAGTATTGTAGCCTAAGTATTCACGGGACCTAACATATGGTTCAGGAGCTCTGAGGGCATAGTGTAATGTGTCAAGCTCCTAACTGAAGGGTTGGCAGTTGGAATCTCCTAGGTATCCCACAAGAGGAAGATGGACATTTGTTTCCCTTTAAATATTTACAGCCTCTGAAACCTGACGGAGGGTCTACTATGTTAGACTTACCTCAACAGCAGTGGTGGGGATGTTGTGCTGCAGTGGTTAAAGTGCTCATCTGCAAACTGAAGACTGGTGATTTGAACTCACCAGCTGCTCCTTGAGAAGAAAACATGGCAGTCTGCTTCTGCAAAGATAATAGCCTTAGAAATCCCATGGGGTAGTTCTACTTTGTCCGACTAATTGTTGTTGTTGTGATGTGATGTCAAGTAATAGCTCTGAACCCTGCTCTATTCTGAACCAGTTTCACTGTCTTTGACACACCTACCTTCAACACCCTAGTTATTGTGTCAGTCCATCTCATCCAGAGTCTTCCTCTCCTGTGCTGTCCCTTAATCTTTCCAAGCATGATATCATCTCCAAAGACAGGACTCTTCTGACTAAATGCCTAAAATATATGAGAGGAAGTCTCAAAATCCTTGCTTCCAAGGACAAGCTTGGTTCCACCCTCTCCAGGATAGACCTGCTTGTTTTCTTGGAAGTCCATTGTATGATCAATTCACTTCTCAAGCACCACAACTCAAAGGCTTCAATTCTTCTTCTTCTGTCATCCTTGGTCATTATCCAGCTCTATGATACATAGCAAGTAATTGCAAACACTATAGCTTGGATCAGGTGTACCTTAGTCTACAGGCTGATATCCTCACTCTCCAGCACTCTGGAGAAGTTCCTGACAGAAGATTTTTTCAATGCAATTCGTCTTTTGATTTCCTGAGTGCTGCTGCAAAGAGTGTTGATTGTGGAATCAAGCAAGATGAAATTGTTAACAATCTCAATCTCTTCTCCATTTTTCACCTGGGTAAGGGAAACTTTGTCCCAGAAATTGTCCATGATCACCAGCCCTTCCTAGTAAGCACATTTAGGTGAATAGGTGATCAGGAGAGAAGGGAGGAAACATCAAGGACTGCATGAAATCCTTCAAACATGTTCTGGTCTAGGTCCATCAGGTAAACGTCTTTTTTCATTTTCAGCACTACAAATGCCCTTCTGGCTGTAGGATGAAAGGGTTGATTGATGAAGTCAATAAAGATTTTACAGACAGAATCAATAAGCTCAAAAATGCACTGTTTGATTACCAGAAGAACAATAAAGACTCTAGTTCAGTGAGCAGGAATATAATGGAACTTCTGAGAAATGACTTTTCCAGAGCCAGTAGTAAGTATTACCTGTTTACTACTTTGAATTAGTAGCAAAAACAAACAAACAAAACCCACAAAACATAAAAAAAAGTCCTATGATTAAAGCTACTGCATTTTCCAAGTGGAGGAGAGTGGAAGCAGAGGAGGGAGGATGGGCAGGGGGAAAATCATAGGGTTGCACAGTTTGGTAGGTGGAAGGGAGTGGGGTAAAGGAAAAGGGAAAGATCCAGCAGGGATCTGGAAAGACAGGGTAATGGCGGGCATAATTCAATGATGATTCATTTTATAAGACGTAATGAATAAGAGTGATTGTATGAAACACATGTGAATGAAGGATAGTGTAAAACACAATGTTTATGAACTTTGTAAGCAATCCAATATAAAACAATTTTTAAAAAATGACAGAAAAAAACAAAAGCAATTAAAAAAAAACCCAACACCCAACAACAATCTTGGAGTAGAAACACTTGCTTCTATTATATTCCTGCATTTTTAAGGAGAGGCATGTCTTGTGTCTTATTTTTTATTGTGTGGCATTTGAAAACATAATTTATAATTATTTAAGGTCACAAAGAAAATCAGAATTTTGGGTTAAACACTAAAAGGTGCTTATATTCTTTTCAAGAGAATATACTGAAAATGAAGTGGGCAAACCCTGTGAGCAGATATTTTGGTTCTTATATTGCAGAGAAGGAAGTAAAGAGGTGAAAGGGTTGTCCAAAGACACAGCACTCTCATGTGACGAGAGTAAGAACCCACTGATACTCCCCCACCCCAACTGACTATGTAGATACTTTTTAAAATAAAATGCCATGCTATTTCTTTTAGGACACTCCTTTGGAAAAATTTGACAATTTTTTTCTCTAAATCTGCACGTTAAGACTAAGAAACATGAGGTTTGCCCTAAAGCTGGGCAGTAAATTTAAATCCTGAACCCTTGCTTTGACTCCCCAGAGAGAAAATGAGATTCTCTCCTGGGATAACAGTAAAAGCAAACAAGTGTGAGGTCTTTAAAATTAGACTGTAAATAAATTTTAAAAGACAAAGACTCCTCACTAAAAATCGTGAATATTGTTTCTTTACTTTGGACTTTTAGGAGAGGTCAGTTCATGAAGTAAGATATCATGCTTAGAAAAGTAGGTCATCGAAAGAGAGGGAGACCCTCAATGAGGGTCATTATGTGAATGTATCAATGGGTTTAGGCACAGGAGAGATGATGAGGAAGATGCGGGATTGGGCATGGTTTTGTTCTGTTGCATATTAATAGGAGCCAACTCAACAATGTCTAACAAAAACAGTAGGAAGTCTTTCAGTACTTTTAGAGTCAATAGAGCAAAGGCTGGCTGGCAAGGGAGTGATCCTGTTAACATCATGAATGTTAAGGAGCTATTTCAAATCTAGCCATAAGAACAAAAACTCCTCAGTCAGAAAATTAATGACGTATTTCAATTCCATGATAAAATAATTAAAATAAGATGAAACTGTTTTATTCCCTAATTGTACCTTTAAAATTCCAAAGAAATGTCTTCTTTATTTATTCAAGTTTCTAATTGCTAAAATGGAGCTTTGGTGGCTTAGTAGTAAAGAGCTGTGCTGCCAACTTAAAGGCACACAGTTCAAATCTACCAGCTGTTCTATGAGAGAAAGGACGATCTCGTCCTGTGTAATTTACTTCCTCTGAAAACCTAACAGAGGGTCAGCTATGAGTTGGTTCCGACTTAATGGTACATAACAACAACAACAATTGGTAATAAGGAATCGTTAGTACTATTTGTGGATAATAGTAAGACATAACATTGTACAAAACCGAAAAGTCTAATAGATGTGAATTCCACAAATTGTCCATAAATATTACAAACAAAACAAAATAGAGAATATTTAAGACCATCTTTCCTTTTTTGCTGGATATTACAAGCAAGTAAAGCACTCAGTAGTTACTTTAATACTCCTATTTCCTATTTCAGACAATGATAACATTTATGGCCAAGCATCGGAAGATCTGAGAAGCAGAATTGAGATTCTGAAGCGCAAAGTCACAGAACAAGTACAGCGTATCCAGCTTCTGCAGAGAAATGTCAGAGATCAGCTTGTAGAGATGAAAAGATTGGAGGTAAGTTAATGGGGCTGATTGGGATTTCCCTGTTTTTGAGTAGCAGGAAAAAGGAAGGTACCACTCGCTCATTGCATGTCTATTACAGGCAGAACGCGGAGCTCTGGTGACTCCGATAACTACCCCAAGGTGGTACCTCTCTGGAGGCTCAAATCCACCTGCAGCTCTGAGGGAGAAAGATGAACAGTCTCTTCCTGTGACCTTACATCCTTCAAAAGCTGCTGGAGGGTCAACTATCAGTCAGTTCTGCAATGAGTTTCTATTATATGCAGAATCCACTGCCCTTCAGGCTACTCTGACTAAAGCAGTTCCTGAGACTGTAAATTTTTACAGGAGAAACTTAAGTGTTACATTCCTTGATTTTATTTTAGTTGCCATTGAGTAGATAGATTTGTGGTGACTCCATATAGAAAAGAACAAAAGGTTTGTAAGGCTTGAACCTTTTTGAAGCAGGTCACCAGACCTTACTTTTTAGGGGTTCCTCTTGGTGAGTTTGAAACATCAATCTTTTAGCTAGTAGTCCAGCACTTAGTCATTTGTGCCATTCAGGAGACTCTTAACTACCTATAAAGTAGGCAGGATTTTTACCATCCAATAGTAGAAGAAATAAGCTCAGAGATGTTAGTAATTTTTCCAAGAACGTATTTATGGCAAGTGTCCGAGGAAAATGCTAGGTTGCAAAGTTCTTGTTTGGTGCATCCTATCACCTTAGTCTTCCGTCTCTTTCTCAGGAATGAGGATCATTTAATTGAAGTTTCCTTTTAAAGAAAGAATGGAAGTTTCCTTTCAAGTATCCTATCCTAAGTTTAAGATGCATCTAAGTAGTTCCCATTGGTAGTCATGACTAGCCTTATAAGCATACAAACATGAAACAAGCACACACTTCTAGGGGAAGTAGAAAGATGCAGGGTCACTGTGGATTATAGGCCACTAGAGGACATCTAACAACAGCAGCAAGCCTCACAAGAGCAAGGACACCAATTGGCAGTGTCTTTTCTAATAAGTGGACACTTGTTTTTGTTGAGTACTATTGAGTCGCAACCGTCCCATAGCTGACTCTCCAGCAGGTTTTCAGAGTGAAGAAATCACATGAGAGGAGACTGCTCATCCTTTTCCTGCAGAGAAGCTGGTGTATTTGAAATGTATGCCTTCTGGATTATAGCACAGCTTCTTATCACTAGGCCACCAAAGCTGGAACAAGTAGGTCTCCAATAGAAAGAAATGAAGCTAGTTTTCAAAAATTAAATTAACACGTTGCCTCAAATGACTGTAAAATGTGTTTCTCAGCATGGTCATCAATTTAAAAGTGTGCAGCAATATGTTAATGGTCAAACTCAAGGACAAAGTTTATTTATACCTATCTTTTCTCTTTATCTGTTTCTCCTTTCCTTTAGGTGGACATTGATATTAAGATCCGATCTTGCAAAGGGTCTTGTAGTAGATCTTTATCTCGTGAAGTAGATCTAAAAGACTATGAAGATCAGCAGAGACAACTCGAACAAGTCATTGCCATAGACTTATTTCCATCTAGAGAAAATCAATACTTACCACTGATAAAAATGACGCCCATAACAGACTTCGTTCCTGGACATTTCAAAAGCCAGCTCCAGACGGCCCCGCCAGAGTTGGGGGCACTAATAGAAACAAAGCAGATGAAAATGGAGTTAGAGAGGCCTGGTAGACCGGGGAATCCCCGGGGCGACACTCCATCTTCTGGAACAGGATCAGAATCTGAAAGCTCCAGAAATCCTCGACCTGGTCATACTGGATCTTGGAATCCCGGCAGCTCCAGACCTGGGAGCTCTGGACCCTGGAATCCTGGCAGCTCTGGACCCTGGAATCCTGGCAGCTCTGGACCTGGGAGCTCTGGACCCTGGAATCCTGGCAGCTCTGGACCTGGGAGCTCTGGACCCTGGAATTCTGGCAGCTCTGGAACTCGGAATCCCGGAGGCTCTGGGAGTTCTGAACCTGGACTTCCTTCCACTTGGAACCCTGGAAGCTCTGGACCTGGAAGTTTTAGGCCAGATAGCTCAGGACATGGGAGCACCAGACCTACCAACCCTGACTGGGGTCATTTTGAAGAAGCAGGAAGTATAAAAACAGAGACAAGGAAAGAATTCCCCACGGGCAAACTCGTCACTTCCACAGGCGATAAAGAGCTCCTGATTGGCGGTGAAAGGGCTGTCTCTGGTAGCACAACCAGCACTCATCGTTCTTGCTCTAAAACCGTCACTAAGACTGTGATTGGCTCTGATGGTCGCAGAGAAGTGACAAAAGAAGTGGTGAACTCAGAAGACGGTGCTGACTGTGATGACACAAGCGACTTCGGCAAGTTCCATACTTTAACTGGCTTGGGGAGCCTAGATGACTTTCGTATCAGACATCCCGACGAAAGTTCCTTCTTTGACACTGGTGCAACAGAACGTTTTTTCTCAAGTATCTTGACACCTACATTCAAAGAAGAGTCTGGAAGTAAGACCCAGTCTAGGGGATCTGACATTTTCACAGATTTTGAGAGATCTTCCAGTCATCAAACTAGTAGCACAACGGTCAGCAGAGGAGGTTCCACATCTGAAAGTAAGACCTTTAAAATGTCAGATGAAGGTGGGAGCGAGGACATTGGAGGAACACACGGTACAAGGAGAAGCCATACTAAAACTCGCCTTTCAAGAGGTATCCACACTTCTCATTTTGAGAAGCCTTCTTTGACCCCTTAGACTAAGTTATTCCAGCAATGTGCTCCCATGGCACTTTGCACTTTCTGCTTTAACCTCTCTCACACTCTATAAATACACCTTTCTTTCTCTGGTTTTGTTGCTAGACTGTAAGTTCCATGAGGGCAGGGATTGTGTCTATCATGCTCAGCTCTGTATTTCCAATGTCTAACAATGCAGAGGAGTACTCAATAAACTGTTGTTAAACAAAGTTGTTAAATAATCCTTCTGAACTCGATTTGGAGTTTGTTTAGCCAAATTCCTTCACCATTCAAAAGGTGTATAGTTGCAACTCTCACTCATTTTATTATTCAGATTTTATTACCTGTCTCAGTCGGCGATTAGCCCAGGTTAAAAGCATGCTATTCATATTAACTGATGCTGACATAAGTAGTTCCAGTTCCTATGAGGGAAATCCCTTCATTTGTACTGAGAGAGCTTCTATCCCAATGTGAATGTATCTCTTCCACCAAAAAGAAATCCTTATCACCCTTCATTTAATCTGGGCCATGCCTTATATAATTTTTTTTTTTTTTGGTTCAATGAGAATAACTTCTTCCAACCAGCTCAATTTTTTTTTTAGACTGTGGTGATGTCCTCCAGACACATCCTTCAGGTGCCCACAGTGGCATTTTCAAAATCACGCCACCGGGATCCAGTAAGATTTTTTCTGTTTACTGCGATCAAGAGACCGGTTTGGGAGGATGGCTTTTGATCCAGCAAAGAATGGATGGATCACTGAATTTTAACCGGACCTGGCAAGACTACAAGAGAGGTTTCGGCAGCCCCAATGACAAGGGGGAAGGCGAATTCTGGCTAGGCAACGACTATCTCCACATGCTAACCCAGCGGGGCTCTGTCCTTCGGGTGGAATTAGAGGACTGGGAGGGGAATATGACTTATGCAGAATATCAATTCCGGGTGGGTCCCGAGACTGAAGGCTATGCCCTGCAGGTCTCGGCCTACAAGGGCACCGCGGGTGACGCTCTGGTGGAGGGATCTGCGGAGGATGGGCCCGAGTACACCTCTCACGCAGGCATGCAGTTCAGCACCTTTGACAGGGATGGGGACCAGTGGGAAGAGAACTGTGCAGAGGTCTATGGAGGGGGCTGGTGGTACAACAACTGCCAGGCGGCCAATCTCAATGGCATCTACTACTCTGGAGGCTCCTATGACCCGAGGGAAAATAGTCCTTACGAGATTGAGAATGGAGTGGTCTGGGTCCCCTTTAGAGGATCAGATTATTCTCTCAAGTCTGTCCGCATGAAAATAAGGCCTCAAGTGACTCAATAAAGGGACTGGAAAGAGAGGGGGAGAGGACGAACTCTGTTATGCTTATTTAGGATAGTGGGAGAGAAATGAGAAGAAAAAGTAGTCAGGAATCTTTACAATCCATTAAAAAAAAAATCCCAGGTGCTATTCCATTGTTCTATGTACTGTAGCTAAATGTAACCGAGAACCTCTTAGTGCTTTTTAAAAAATAAAGTTATATATGTTTTTTTTTAATCTTTAAAATAGTTCTGTGGGTTTTCAAATTATTACGGAGTTCTGCCAAGAGGCATGGAAAGTATCAGAAGAAAGTCCCATTCCGCAATCCTGAGGAAGCGATTTTGAAATCGTCTTTCTCTTCCCATTACCTCAAGCCTAAAATTCATTGTAAAGTAAAAAAGTTTGCTTCCTCCATTCAGTTTGAAGAACTTTAAGACAGTATCTTAAGTTAGAAATCACTGACTTGAACAACATTTGGCATTTGTTATGGAATTTACAGGTTGCAAATGTGTTCAGAGCTTAGAAAACAAATCCAAATGGGTACTGTGATATTACTTCCCAATGTTGTTGTTGTTATGTGCCGTCGAGTCGCTTGAGACTCATAGCGACCCTATGTACAACCCTGCTCTGTCCTATGCCAATCTCACTGCCTCTGACACACCCATCCTGATTGCCCCAGTCACTGAATCAATCCACCTCACAAGGGGCCTTTCCCTCCTGCGCTGTCCCTCCACCCTCCCAAGCATGATGTCCTTCTCCAAGGACCTGTCCCTCCTTACAACATGTCCAAAGTATGTCAGACGAAGCCTCAGAATCCTTGCCTCCAAGGAGCAGCCTGGTTACAAATGAAAATCTGTTCTTTACGTTCTCTTTCCTCCCCATAACCCATAACCAACTATTCTAAAGAATATATGAGAAAACACACTTAAAATCTTTTCAATATTTACCTTCATTCAAAAAGTACTAATTAGATTTCTACATTAATAACCAAATCCTCAAGCATTTATTTGACTATATTTTTCTACCTCCGGCACGAATACTGTGATACACTGTTGTTGGTCTATGTTATCAAGTCACAACCGACCCATAGCTGACCCTCCAGGTGTCTGTGCAGGGAGGATAAATCACACAGGAGGAGATAGTACCTCCCTCTCCCTTGAGGCAGCTGGTACTGAACAGCCTGGTCGTGGGTTGTTAGTGTCCTTCCTCACGAATCGCTGAAGCTTCCTTAACCCAGGCTCTTTATGTAAGTTTTACCATTGTACAAATCTTCTATCTTTCTCTTGATGTCTGCTAGTCCACTCTCTCTTGGCTCATAAAGATGTCAGGTGATTTTGTTTTTATTTTTAAATTCTCCATTTCTTTCCAAGTCCCTCTTTAAGCAGTTTTATCATTCTAATACTATCAATTTCCGTTGTATACTTTTAAGAAGGAACTAACCTATAGCTGACACTCCAGCGGGTTTTCAGAGTCAGTTAATCAAACAGAAGGAGATTGCCCATCCTTCTTCTGCAGAACAGCTGGTGGATTCAAACTGTTTGCCTTCGGTACTGCACGGCAACTTCTTTCCACTAGGCCACAAGAGCTCCCCAATAATGTCATATTCATTTGTATCCGTTAGGATTTTATTCAGTCTAAGTGACATTATTAGCAAGACAGAAAGTTTTTTCTTGTTCACAAAGCAGTCTAAATGCATAGTCCTGAGGGAACAATAATTCTAGTGAATGATGCTTCTCCTCAAGATGAAATGATATCCTTACAAACCTCCAAGTAGGCTAGAAGAAGGAGAAAATACAAAAGAGGAGGTGGAAATATACCCTGTTTCTTTCAAGGAACTTTTCAGAATATATGACTCCTCTATTTATGGGCCATCAGTCACCTATTCACATAGAAATATCTACCTGCAGGAAAGGATGAACTATATTTTTAGTGTTAATGTGTAATAGAGTAGCTATTAGAGTGGACTAGCTGATAGGGCACCTGAGGCTGAGCCCTTGAATTTGGAAACCCAAAAAGGAGGAACAGTTGTAAGCAGACACTAATTATTGGAACATAAAATATGAGAAGCATGAATGTAGGGAAACTGGATATTGCTAAGAAAGGAATGGAATGCTTAAATATTGACATTAGATATTAGCAAAATGAGGTGGATTGGCAAGGGGTATTTTGAATCACACCATTATATAATCTACCACACTAGACATGAAAAGGTATGGAAGTTGCTTTCATAGCTAAAAAGGTCATTTATAGATTTATCTAGAAATATAATGCTTTATTTTAATTTCTTCTTAAAAAAATATCTTTTGATTTCCTGACTGCTGCTACCGTGGGTGTTGACTGATTGTGGATCCAAATAAAATGAAATTGTTGACAGTTTTTTTTTTTAAAAAAAGAAGAAACCATGTTCTGAACGACAGAGTAAAATACATATGCATACAGGGAAGTCTGGTGAATACCACTATCATTCAAATATGCGCATCAACAACCAGAGCCAAATAGGAGAAAACTTTTGCAGTCAGAACTTGATCAAACATGCAATCAAGATGCAGTAATAATAATGAATGACTGAAATGCAAAATATGAGAACAGGCAATAAGGATACAGTAGTCAGAAAAGATGGAGTTGCTAACAGAAATGAGACTGGAGATAGAATGAGAGAAATTTGTACAGTTGATGATTTACTTATTGCAAATACCTTTTATAAGAAACAAACAGTGACTACACACATGGACCTTCCCTGATGGTATGTGTGCACAGATATGAGATCAGTTACATCTGTGGAAAGAATTGTGGAGAAGCTCAATATGAGCTATGAAAACAAGGTCAGGAGCAGAGTAGTTGTGGAACAGACCATCAACTACTTACATGGAAGTTCAAACTGAAGCTAAAGAAAGTTAAATCAAATCCACAGGAACCAAAATTTTACTTTGATTCTATCCCACCTGAATTTCAAAACTATCTCAGAAAACAATTTGAGGCCTTGATTGAAGACCCAACAAACTGTGGAAGGATATAAAAAATATCATCCATGAAGAATGCAAAAGGTCATTATAAAGACAGAGAAGGAGGAAAAGACCAACCTGAATGTCAGAAGAGATTCTGAATATTATACTAGAGCACCAAGAAGCCAAAGAAAAGGGAAGAAAAAACGAAGTTAAGGAGCTGAATAAAAGATTTCAAAGGGCAGCTTGGAAAGACAAGGCAAAATATTATAATGAAATGTGAAAAGACCTAGAGTCAGAAAATCAAAAGGACCAAACTCATTCAGCATTTCTTAAGCTGAAGGAACTAAAGAATAAATTCAAGCCTCGAGGTGCAATACATAAGGATGCTATGGGAATAATAATGAATGATCTAGAAAACATTAGAAGAAGGTGGAAGGTGTATATGGATCACTGTACCAAAAAGAATTGGCTGAAACAGAAGAATTTAATAGACAACATATGATCAAGAGGCAATGGTGATTAAGGTGGAATTTTAAGCTGTTCTGAATGAATTGGTAAAAAAAAAACAAGGCCGCAGGAATTGATGGAATACCAATTGATATATTTCAACAAATAGATGCTGCCCTAGATGTGCTCACCAGGTTGAGCCAAGAAATATGGAGAACAACCACTTGGCCAACTGACTGGAAGAGATCTGTATTTACTCCCATTCCAAAAATACGGTGACCCGTAAATACAGTGTGGAAATTATCAAACAATGTCACTAATATTACATACAAGCTAAATCCTGCTGGAGATTATCCAAACATAACTGGAACAGTACATCAACAGAGACCTACCAGAAATACAAGCTGAGTTTAGAAGAGGCAGTGACCCTAGAGACATTATTGCCGGTGTCTGATGGATCTTGGCTAAATGGGAAAAGTACCAGAGGAATGTCTGTGTTTCATTGACTATGCAAAGGCATTTGACCATGGTCACAATAAATTGTATTTCACCTTGAGAAGAATGGAAATCCCAGAACACTTGATTGTGCTCATGTGAAACCTATCCTTAGACCAAGAAGCAGTCCTCTCAGAATAGAACAAGGAAACACAGTGTGGTTCAAAATCAGGAAAGGAGTGCATCAGGGGTACATCCTGCCTCCATACCTTTTCAATCTGTACTTGGAACAGATCCTCCAGAAGGCTGAGCCTGATGAGGAGAAATGTGACATCAAGATTGGAGGAAGACTCATAAACAACCTGCATTAGGCATATGACAAAACCTTGCTTGCTAAAATGGAGGAAGACCGGAAGTGTTTACTGCAAGTCAAGGACTGTAGTCTTCATTATGGAGTGAATCTCAAGAAGACAAAAGATTCTCATCAGTGGGCCAATTAGCAGTACCATGATAGACAGAGAAGAGATTGAGGATGTTAACAATTTCAGCTTGCTTGGCTCCATAATCAACACTCTTGGCACTAGCAGTCAGGAAATCAAAAGTCAAAGTGCCTTGGGAAAGTCGGCTGTCAGAGACCTCTCCAAAGGACTGTCAGAGACCTCTCTAAAGTGTTAAAGAGCAATGATGTCAGTCTAGAGAATAAGGTGTTCCTGATCAAGGCCATTGTCTTTGTAATCACTTGCTATGCATCAGAGAGCTGGACAATGACTAAGGAGGACAGAAGAATTAATGTCTTTCATTTGTGTTGCTGGAGAAGCGTATTGAACATAACATGAACCTCCAAGAGAACAACAGGTCTGACCTGGAGAGGGTGAAACCAAGTTTTTCCTGTAGGCAAGGATTTTGAAACTCCATCTCATATACTTTGGGCACATGGTTAGGAGGGACTAGTCCTTAGAGAAAGACATCATGTTTGGAAGAGTGGAGGGGCAGCACAGGAGAAGAAGACCCTGGATGAGATTGATTGACGCAGAAACTGAGGTAATGGGGGTAGGTATATCGGAGTTACTGAGACTGGCTAAGGATGGGACAGGTGTCAGAGGTATTTTAGATAGTATTGCAATGAATCACAGTCAACTGGATGGCATATAACAATAACAACAATACCAAAGAGAACAAGTCTATTCTGGAAGGATG